GGGACGGAAAAGAAAAAGGAGAAAGATATCGGAGAGATACGTTGCCTCTGCTGTTTGCGTCACAGTGTAGAATTAAACAAATAAAATTCTTTTCGTTTTTTTTTTTTTTTTTTTTTTTTGTTTATTTATTTATTTGTTTATTTTTTTGGTTTTCTTCTTTCCTCCGCGTATTCCACGACGACGATGACGACGACGACCGTTTCTCTCCGTTTGCGGACACTTATCGTTACATAAAGTCTATGTATACGTATAATTTTGTGCAGCGGTTTTGCGGCGAGGTCGTTGGCTCTCCGAATAATCTTAATGGAAAACGCCCTTAATTGGATTTAACGCTTTTGCGTGAGACAGATTTATGGTCGTGTTGTCCTCCAATGGCTTACGGACTGGGTGCGGGTGGTCGGACGACCCCTACCCCTCCTACACACAAACACACAAACACCACAAACTCCCACCTCCATCTCCCCGTTTACCTATTGGTTAAACTAACTTTTGGTTTTGGCGGGCTGGCGAGTGTGTGTTTGTGTGCAGAAAAGATTTCTGCGGCCACTGCACATATTCTCCGCCCCCACCCCCACTGTGCTCCGCCAGTCATGTTGACGACAGTAACCACGCGGCGATTAGCGGTCTCTCCCGAAAACGCGAAACGATTTACTACGCCAATACACGCGTCCGATCGTCGTAAATATCAATTACAACGCGGCGCGTCGAGTCGTTCGTTCGTGTGCGATATTATGGTCTCCGCCGCCGGTCCTCATTACGAAATAATTATTACCCAAGTCCGCCGTTATCTGTGGTCGTAATTCATTTTCCTAACACTCTCGACACTGTCCGACTTGCAGGTCGTCGTCATCGGTTTCCGCCGAATGTTTCCCTCCCGGACACGCCAACCACCTGCACCTGCTCCTCCGCGCCGGAACGCATCCGGTACTACTACAACCATCGGGCCCTAAATACCTGCTGCATCCGACGCCACCACCAGACTTTACGAGAACATATTCCGAAAGGGAAATTCGCCCCGGAAATTAGACGACTACATTATTGCTGCAAGTGGTCGAAAAGCCGAATATATAGCGAATCCAATCCCTATTTCGTGTCACCGATTTTGTTATTTATTTTTATCAAATCTATAAATCTATTTTTTTTATTTTACACATGAGTACATTACCTCTGATTACGCTCCTAAGAGCGGCTATTGCGTAAAATAAAAACAATCCATTTCAAGGGTCGTCTGATAACTGGTTAAGCCTATCTTATTTAATCATCTGCTAAAAATGAACGATAAATGTGTCCGATCGAATGTTGGATCATACATATTCTCAAAGAAGAACTCATTCTTTAACTATCTATTTTGTTGTCAAATATTTCTTAGGTTTTTTTTATTCATGTATAATGCCCTTGTTTTTTCTGTTATAAATTTAAAATATATACAATTTGAAAACATGTATATGTATAATGTATATTATATTAATATGTACTTTGCTTAAGATAATACTATGGAATATTTTATATTATTGAAATATAATAATATGATGATCTTTGGCCATCTATACTTGGCAAATAATTCATATTATATATTTGCTTATCTTAAATAAATAATACAAATTAAATAGTCCAATGTAGAATCACATTTTACCTATTCATGAATCTATTTTATTTATTCATTTTATGAATAAGAGAATATTTGAATATTGCAATGAGGTCAAACGCAAAAAAAAAACAGATTTTTTTCAAGCACAATTCTAGGCCAAACTTCCCTTATACATTTGCTTTCGTAGTTCGTACTTACAATTATTATCTATGGTGTAAAAACTTAGAATGTTATTCTATCCACGCCCCCCAAAGAAATGTTTAGATTTAAACAGTAAGTTGGCCCTAAAACCATATTATATCCATACAAATGACTCAGATTATTTAAATGACATTCAACAATTAAATGGGCGTATACTTTATCAACATTTTCATCAGTCAAGTTCATTGTTAAAGAGCCAAAATTAAAATTAAAATAAATATCTAGATGAAATTATTTGAAATATTATACTTAAATGTGCGATGGTACTCAATATAATTAAGAATAATTATTTAAAAATTATTTATTAATGGGACATTTAAACACGTTGAATTATTTTTAAGACTGGTCGATAGGTACATTAATACTACTTGGATGATAATAATTATACATATTATTGTATAATATTGAACTAGAAGATATAAAAAATATATATAAATATATATAGGTATTATGCAAATGTATGTAGATTTTTGAAATCAGTCAATGTAAGATAATTACAAATTAAATAATAATTATATTTTTATACAAATACTGAGTTTAATTTAATTTAAAATTAATTACACAAAATAATGATAATATTATATACAATTATATAAATTAAAATAATAATATTTAAAAATACATTTAAGCTTCTCTTAAATTTTATAAATTTGATTTAAAATTTCAGACGTTAGTACTCAATGTAATAGTATCAATAGATTTATGTCTTATAATATAGGTATAGCTAGTATAAATATGATTAAATAATATAATAGGTATTATCAATAAAATGCTAATATGGCTATGCCTAATAACAAATCTATAAAAAGTAAGATTAAATTAATAAACACATAAATATTAAGACTAAAACACTATATTATAGATTACAAGAAATATTTGCTAATGATATGACATAATTATTTTGTATAACAGTATCATCATTCAGCGTTGAGTGTTCACAGGGACTGTTGTCAACCGTAAGGTCTAAAAAATATCTGAGGATGAACAAAGAGCTATTCTATTTGATATACTGTTGAGTGATGACTTTCCGGATATATATTGGTCTAATCACTTGTTTGACCCTTAAGCCTAAATCCATTCGTCAGCACGATTGATGTTCAACTACCGATAAACAAGTGTAGAAATGCCTCCTTTTTCAAACAAAAAAAAGATAAAAGTAGCACACGGTGGATTTTGGGAACTTAACGTTTAGTATTATGCCGTGATCCTTATTACGAAAGTTTTTATCGTCCTTCCGCATATTAGAAGAGATAGAAACCTAAAGTAAATTTATACATGTAAATAAAATGGCCTAAGAGATGCTTCTACTCGTCCGTATCATTTTGATATGATTATGTCGGAAGAAAGGTAGTTCAAAGATATTAGGTATATTTTACATTTAAATGAAATTAATTTTGTGTGTACAGTTTTGTTTGAATAGGTCTTAATCTAACACACGAGTTATTTGACAAAATACTTTTGGTTTCACCAAAGAAAGTATTCTAGGAATATATTTCTATTAGGAAAATTACATAATTGTACATATAAATAAGAGTAAAAAATATTTTATGAATGTTTCTTTTATATCATTACCGTTTCCAAGTGTTTCACTATTTTCAGCCTAATATTTCAATAACAGTTTATATTATATTGTCTTCAGACGTTAGGTCACTACAACGAAACAGTTAATCATTCACACACTGATAGCTACAAATAATGGGCTGGCCCTGTTGTTTTTGTTGTTAATGACATAGACCGAATGAAACAGAGACATTAAACCTTGTGTAAGCCAAAACTCTCACCCCAAACCAGGTTTTGTACTTAAGCTGAAAAATTGCAATTCTCGCTCCACTCACACCCTCCAACCGCCAAACAATAATTTATTTCTTTCTTGGTATTATTATTTTTTCTCTTACATTTTGCACCCTTTTCTCTCGGTCATCAGTGCAGCGGCAGACTGGTTTTAGTGTATTCGAATTTATCATCGCATTCGGGTGCTCCAGGCGCGTATACATAAAAATTGGTCGATTATCGTTTATTGTTTCGAAGGGAAATAAAGAAAATGATAACGCGTTGTTTTTATAGTACTGGAGCTCGAGGATTATCCGCCGATGATTAATAGCCGCGTTTCTTTTTATATTTTTTATATTGTAAGCCCACAATAATTCATCTCTGCTGCAGCGACTTAGTTTTGACGTCGAGTCTCTTTGAGGGTTATTGAACTATGTGTTGAAAAATGTATTCAATTTTTTCGACCAGATATTTGGATTGTGTCACTGGCAACAAATTTTATTCAGCAAACCGACCCCGCCGTTGTTTTCCGACCAGCCCCTCGGCGTGACACATACCCTGGGGAAATGCTTTGACAGACTATTGTGTTTGTTTGTGTGTGTGTGTTTGGTAACTTTCAATAAGTTTTTTTCGGGCGCGTTAAAACACACCCGATGACGAATTTATTTGAACTCTATTATTCTTGGATTGTTTTTCACATCTAGAGCACACGAATTATAACACAATACTACAATAGACAGAGTCGACACTAATAAAATCAAATATTCTCGTAAGAAAATCCACTTAAGTGTTTTTAAACGTCTACGTAATGGTATTTTTCTTTCTCGATGCATATAAACAATACTCAATATCGTATCATTTGGTTTACATTAGATAACAATAAAGTAAAACTTAAACATTTAAATAGCAATCATTATATTATATGTAATCGCTTTGGGCGATAAAAAATAATGATATTCGAGTGATAATAAATACAAAATTCCTACATTCTAGCAGAATTCATAAGAAAAACCGTGCTTTTAGAAATTTAATTGGAGCAACATACTAGAAGTACCTACTACTTTTTCGTAAAAACATAAAATATATATTATTATTTATTTTCTGTTACGGGTGAGTTTTGTATTATTGACCCAAAATTACTCATTAAATTCCGTTAATAATTGGAAAACTCAATGGGTGAGCGTGCACCCGAAGATTAATGCCTTTAAATGCGAAAAAGTTCGATGATATTATCGTTCATTCTGTAAATGGTATTTTAAAATGCATTTTGTTGAAATTATTAAGTTTTGGGGGACTGACTAAGGATATTAATTGAATTTCCATTCCGAATCAATAAATTCAATTAAATAGTTGATAATTATTTAAGTGAACAAACTTCAGTTTGTTCTACTTATATTGAACATTTTGAAGCTTATTTAAATATGAATTATTTTGTTTTTAGAGATGTGGCCAGTAACAACATTACGGAGATAGATGAACATGTATTTAACCGACTGACCCTATTGGAAGATCTGTAAGTGATTTTATAAAAGATATCTTTTTTGTTTTTATTAATTAGTTTATTATTTTTATGATTTGATAGTACATTGAAACATTGAAGCAGATTGAGTTTTTGAACCTGAGATTAATATTTAACACATAATACGAATGTACGCCCTATATTTATATAATATAATATGTGTTTTCCTATAGTTAGTTTTGTCTGTTATCATTGTTTTTTAAGTATAGAAAGTTGTAGGAGTAATCCAAAAGATCCATACGACTTAGTTTAAAATGTTTATTTAGTCGATACTTCAACCAGGTCATTTTTGACAATCTCATTACTATATAGTAGGTAATTAGTTTCCTTAAACAATAAACTATAAGCATAATATAAAGAACTACCAACATGGCAACATGTATGGCACACTCGTTATTGTTAACAAAAACGATTTTGGTTGTATCGACGTATTTAAAATACTAATAAAGACTTTAAACTTCACTAACTATGCATTTAAGTATTACTGTGATAATTACTTAATGTGTGCTACAAAAATAATAAGTAATAACCTTTTTGAAACTATTATTTTATTCTATTTAAATAATATAGTTTGCAGTTTTATTTTTTCCATAATCTGAAAGTTATAGACAAGTATTCTCTCCAACTACGAATAAAAAGAATTTCAAAAGTTCAAAGTTTTTTTTTATAAATTCTCAAAATGAATTTACCACGAAGAGTTAAGATTTATCTAAACTATAATAACTTACAGAATCTCAAATTCCCTATGCCAATATTTTAATAATTTTTAATAGGGATTTAAAGTTTGATTAAGTGGCTGCACACTTGCTATAATAATATGTTATGTTTCCTGTCTAACTGTGTGGGGAATTTATATTATAATCAGATATTTGAACATGATTGTTGAACTATAATATTATACTGTAATGCAGAAAATACGTTAAAAAAAGATAAAAGTAATAATAAGAATGAAAAATTGCCAGGCTATAATGACCTCAGATTTTGAAGCTTTTTTAACTGAATACAAAAAAATAATAATAATAATATCAATACAAATTATATGTAACTAATTACGTATACTAAATATGTATACATAAATAACTTATTTTAAATTTCGTTTACTTACTCATTTACATTATAAAGGAAAATATTCTTTTAAGGAATTTCAAGAAAATTTCCATTGTTGAAATATAATACCTATATTATATAATATATATTTTTATATAATTAATTTCGAAGTGGTCGTATCTGATACAAATGGTCTATAATAATAGATAGAATATTAGTCACTTTCATGAACTTGCTGACGTTTTTTTGGTCACACCGTATCCATGAAATTTATCAGGTTGGACATTTTATCTTCTGGGTTCACCTTAAAAGGAATTTGCTCTAATACAGTTGATAAAAGGTATAAGTTGATTAAATGACTATTTAGAGAATTCGGCTTCGTACGAAGCTTTTTGAGTGGTTGAAGAATCGCTAACCGTCCATAAAATGGTTCGTTCCAAAGGATGGTTTCAAATTACACAGGAAGAATTTGTTGATAATGTTTAAAACCAATTGTTGATAACTTTTAACATAGATTTTTCTAAGGAAATAAAAGATTATGTTAAAATTAGTTCTTAAACAAAAATTAATATCATAAGTATACTAATGGAAAAAACTATAACAATACATGTCTCAAAACTTTTGTATTGATTACAAATTTGTATAAAATAAATTTCATACTTTAGCTTGAACAAAAAAAAAAAAGTATTGGTTTTACAATGTTATATAAAAAAAAATGTTCATGAACACTTTGTTGGTCAGAAGCAGTGGTCCAAAACTTACAAGTAGTAATAACTATCGATTGAAAATAAAGTCTAATTGATACTTTGATTTTTCAATTTCTCAGTCGTTACTTAGTTTCATTACAAAAAGAGAAAATGACATAGAAGTTTTGAAGAAATTAAGAAATTTAAGCAACTGTAATTTTAACAGAACTTCGCACCAAGATTTGTTTTTAAAATGTAATGGTTTACATTTTCAAACATTATATCACAAATCAAGTGTCAAACCTAATTACCTGTTTCTGCAACAGTGATATTATTCCAAAATAATTTTGTGATATTCATTATAAACTTTATGTGCATTAAAAAATAAAATCTTAATAATCAAAAACCTAAATGATTGATTGGTTAATTTAAATTGGGTGGAATACATACTTACAAAAAATGTTCATTATGTTTTTTAGAATATTTTACTAGAGGGATATTATATATTTTATTTTAAATTTTACTATTATTTTCTTTTTTCTAGCTTTTAAGTGTAATTTGCTCAAAAAAACTTTCCAAAGAAGTATTGCATTTTATAAACACGCAAATGTCAAATAATTAATTTTTGTGTATTTGGGACAGTTATTACATTTTTTTTTTCTATAATTTTCATTGCATTTCTTTAAAATAACGCTTTTATCAAATGTTTTAAAATTTTTTACATCATTAATAGTTGAATTAATAACATTGATTTTTTTTTTCGTTAGATGCTTATGCATAGTCAAGTACGTATCGCATAAGACATATTTAACTATGCCTTGTGCGACACATAAATTTACTATGCATCTTATGGACAATAAAATGTAAAGTTTAATTATATTTTAACATTTATTGAAATATATGTATATGGATATTGTTAAAGTAAATTATTATATTATAATATTTAATAGTATATTTAGTACCTATATTTTCCATAAAATACTTACAATATGTGTGAAAAATAATATTATATAATATTCCATAATAAAATTTTTAAAATTTACATAAGATCAAGGATTTGATAAATATTTTTGTTTTTCTGTTATACAATGGTAAAATATAAATAATTTTATGTTTCGAAAAAATTGTATATTATGTACAATCTTTCAGATACTGAGTGAGCATGGAATTTGTTTGTTTTCAACGTTATTTTTAAATTCAATTTCGATATTTTTTTGTAAATATTTTTTCGGTCGGGAATAGTGCTCTAAAAATGTCAAGATTTTTGAGTCTTTGAAGTTTTTTTTTATTTATTTTAAAAAGTATATTTACAGTCCATACAACAGACAAGGTGTTATGAGTAAGTGTGGTGACATAAGAACATTAGACATAAAATATCATTAATAGGAAGGCTCCCTGCAGTGCCACCTGACCAGAAATCAAATGTCAAGATAAATTTTAATATATTGATTGAAAATAATTTCTTGGAGATATTTTTAAAATGTAATTTTTTAGTTTACTCAAAAGGCTATAAGTAAACCATCATCAATGTATAAGAAAATAAACAATGGAGTTAGAAAAATTATGAATTTAACACAAGTGTGATTTTAGACATACCCTTCTAAAAAATATGTTTATTCTATTTCATAATACTCTTTAGTTATAATATTAAGTTATTAGTTTTAATAAAGCTGGTTTTCAGTATTTAAAATTAAGATAATTTATAAATTTCAAGTAGGAATTTGAAGTTATTTAACATGGTAGATTAGCAAACTTTTTGTCATACCTATGTTATCTTCTCTAAGTACCTATATTTTTGTCAAGTTCAGGTGGGCCCTTTTTAGAAAATTTTACCTTACTCACCATTTTAATGGTTCTACACTACTGCTCTTTATTATAAGTCATTAATCATGTGCTTGATATCAACATTGTGATGCAAAGTAATTTAATATACTATGAAATGCACATTAAATTATAATTTTTGACATTTTAACATTGTTATATAATTTATATTTTAGTAAAAATAATATTAATAAACAGTTGTAATTTATGTGTATATCGAGTTCAATTAATTTTCATTCATTTAATATGTTTCTTTATATATTAACCCTTTATGAAATTATTATATTCCTAATAAAATTACTAAGTTTTGTTCCGTCAATAAAAAAGCATATTAATATGTTAAGTTCATACAAAAAATGAATATTTCACGATATAGCGTTGTGAATGAAACTGGACGACATGATGAATAGCAACTCACATATCGCTATTATATAGGTAATAACATTTGCATTACATTTTAACGAGATATACTTGCAGTCAGTTTTAAAAACAGCCGAGACCGTCTGGGGAGTCCATTTAACATTTCACATTCAACTTATTCATATAAATGTTCATTAACATTATGTACATTATTATACGCTGCAGCGTTTTAAAACGCTTTATAATATGTCCCACGAGAAAATGACCGAACAGTGAACGAAAATATAGACGAGAGTGGCAATCGTATATATAACACACACACACATATATATTATAGAAATACACGCCCATAACCTAATCAAAACGACCAAACGTATCCACCCCCAATCCAAAAACATACCCTAATCCTTTTTGTGTATATATGTGGCTCTAGAGTCTCGTATACAGAAATACATTTATACCAAGTACAATAAGACTTACAAGGACTAAAGTGTCTAGTGTTAGTGATACTTGAAGGACCGTCGTGGTAAACGGAAAAGTTTTCTTTTACGAAATAATATTACGATAATATTATTATGACGAACATTAAGTTATCAAATTGTATTCAGAACAAAGTTGATTGATTGAACTCGGAGACGTTTTGAGCAAAGTCGTCAAACACTTTTCATAATTCATCACGTCATTCAGTTTTATTACAATATAATATTATATTGCTCAACAATTTGTATACATAATTATTATAAATTACCCTTTTATATACACGTCATAATATCTGCGTAACAAACTTTAAGTGTTTTTTAAACGTTTCTCGACAATACTTGATAAGTAACCGTTGTTCCGTTGTTTACTGTCAAATATGGATGAATTTACAGTGTATTTAAGTATTTCACTAAAACAAATAGATAAATATAAATTATATTATGATTTGTATTTATGATAACTAAGTTGGTGGGTATGTAAAACTCTATACATTGGTTTCATGTTAAAACTAATAATTTAGTAATTTCATATTATGCATAGATAATGTAAAATTTAATTCGAATTTTTTTAAGTTATCTATAAACCCATAAAATAATTATGTTGTTCTTGGATATACGAGTAATATCAGTACAGAGACTTGTACACATTTTTCAGTGAAATTTAAAAAAAAATGTACTTACAATTTAAAATTTATTATTACTAAAATTTATAATTTACAAGTAGGTGATTTATGTTATGTTTCTGCTGTAATATTATAATATTTGTACGTGTTTTTAATTGTATAAAATAAATAAGACTAAAAATCTAAAGGATCAGATAATTATTAAAGTTTTGATGGCCGTCATTCCAGTCATATATAATCTTTAAGCAATTTAATAATAATTATAGTACATTTAAAATATTCTATAGTACTTCATAATAATTTAAAACACAATCATAAAATAATGTTAGAATCGTTTTCAAATACCTACGACATATTTAATAAAAAAGTATATATACCTACATAATAGTAAAGTTAACAGTATTAGGTAGGTAGTTAATAACATAAGTTATTACCACGCCATTGTACTTTATGCAATAGTGTAGGTATATACAGTTTGGAAAAATATGGTTTTTTTCCAATAATATTTCATGCACAATTATGAACACATAGTACCATAATACTAAGCAATGTACTATACTCTTTTCTTTCTTTATTTTTCTTTATTCGTAGTGTAGGTATATTCTATATGATATTATATTGATATGAAATACAAGTTAACAGAAATGTAAATATTAAGGAATTTTCGTAAAACTTAGACATTTTATAAAACGAAGAAAACATCAGATCCGAGTATTATAATACATACATCATCTATTATTTGTGCATGTATGTTTATGCATGTTTGCATTCACTAAGAATTTCAAGTTGTAAAAATGATACCGAATGCTATCATAAAACAATAGATAAAACTTATTTTAATGTAAATGTATGTAGAGCTAATGGCCAAGTCGTTGAAGCAAGATAAAGATTAGTTAAAAAATAAATAAAACCTATTCTTTAAATCAATAGGTTTGTAGATGTTTTTTTCCATGAAATGTATACTAGGTATCACCTAGATAAACATGGCTGAAAAGATAAATAAATTTAAGTTTGGAAATTTATTTTGTTTTGAATTTATTGTTTCTAAATATTAAATATTGGAAAGAGAACAATTTAATGTACCTAGTAATATAATATTATATATAACGAACCCTTACATTTTGTTTTTTTTTTAATTATAGAAAAATACTAAAAACTTTTATTTGGTGATGAATTAAAAACTTATGACGATAGATTTAGAAATATTAATTTCATTATGTAAAATCAAATAACACAATAATAAAATTGTTCGGTACCTTATGTTGATACATTGTTATTATTATTACAATAAAACTTAAAATAAAAGATTGTAGTATGGGTGTGACATTTTTTTGTTCGTATTACATAACATTTAGGTATCATAACACTTATAAGTTTGTTATGTAGTGCTATATAGTTTAACAATAAATTATATTTTTCCTTCACTCTAATATTAATAAAAATGCTAAATGTTCGATCATTCATCATTCACATCTAGCAATACAATGTAGAAGCACTAAGCTTCTATTACATTTATAAAACTCCTCAGAAATGTCAACTAAAGTTTTATTGAAAAGAAAAAATAATTACATTTCCACACAGTGATTTTTTGACACATACACTCATTTCCTTGAACGACTTGTATGTTTTTTTTTTTAAATGTTTGCACATAATTTAAAGTACGTATAACGTCACATTTAAGAATAAGAAGAAATTCAAATATTTAAAAATAACGATTTAAACTTTATATTGACAGGGAGGGGAGAGGAGTATTTAAAAACTATTTATTCAACTCTCAATACTGCTTATACATTAAAGTTTAATGAAAAGCATTGTGTTTCATATAATTAAATTAATAATAAAGCCTATCTTTAAAAAAAAAAAAAAAAAAATGAAAAAGCGGAAAAATAAACATTAGGAATATAAATTTTTAAATATTTTTTTCTTATAAAATATGTATTGTTGCAAATATGTCTACTTCAAATAATTTGAACGATGCAATAACCTTTTTTTTTTATTATTTGAATAAAAAAGTACATTGATCAAGATAATAATGTTCGGTTTTTATTTTAAAAGGATCAGCAATATGAAAAAGTGTTCTTTTAATTATTTCAAAGGAGTTAATACATATTTTGATCTTATCGTGTATTTATAAATCATAATATTATAGTTATTAATAAATCAATATGGATATTTTTAGCGATGCGTTGTCATAGCACATATTATTATAACGCATGTGCATAATCAGCTGCTAAATTTTCTACATCAGAAATAAATCATAACAATAGGAAAAACAATGCAAATTTATAGTGTTACCAAACATCCACTGCATGTACACAATATATTCGCATCGTACATCACACGTATAATATTATATTCAATATTGTAATGCATCAAATGTGTAGAGACGGGAAAAAAAGTTTCGATGTTTTTAATAAATAAAAGTTTTTTTTTTTTAATGTTTCAAACAATTTTGTATATTATCCCTAGAATATTGGACTACACCGAAAATGTATGATACGATCATCGAATTGTATATATAGTTACACAGTTTATTAATGTCCTCGAAATCATAATTTTAAACCTCCTAATGTACCTATAGATATTTTTTTTATTAGAGAAGTTTTCTTCTATCTTATATTTTAGTTGTATACTATTGTAACACTGCCACTAAAGTATTTGCCGAAATTTCATCGTTTGCTCGGATATATATATTTTAACTTTTAAACATCAGAACCTTATTTCACTGTAACTTTTATTATATTATGATCTTTATTAGGTTATTTTTCCTATTTTTTTTCATACCTAATTTATACCATTACAAACAAAAATTTAATGTACAATATACATTTAAACAAATATTTGAAACCTTCGTGAATATCATTAAAAATAAACATTATTTTTTTGGTTTTTCCGAAGTTATGATAATAAGTAATACATTTCATAAGATATTTTTAATTAAAAATGTCAAATTGACAATAAATATAATATACTTAAAAAACTATTGAAGTAATATTTATCTAGTATCTAATGATAATATTATAATAATTACATATTTTGTACCTTAACGATGTGCAATAGTAAATAAACATAAATTTATATTTATGTTTATTTAATTTATTATTACTAATGTGAATATTATTTTTTATTTCCATTAATTTAATATAATAATATAGTTTATCGGAAAATTAAAACAAATTATACTAAGTTCTGTTCGATAAATTGTGATTTATAATTTTATCAAAGTATAATATTATAGTTGTCTATTATAACTTGTCTAAATAACATTAGGTATAATAATATAATATTATGTTATATTTTTAGTTATAAACTATAAATCATTAATTCTGGAAATTGTTTATTATATTAAAAAAAATCTTATCTTAGATAATATATATAATCTTCATTATATTTTAATTCAACTGCAAAATCATAATAGGTATCTTGAAATTTTCAACAAATAGCTGACAAGAATCATTACCTAGTGATATCATAATAGGTATTGTGTTTTGTGTAAACCACAACACCTAATGAAAAAAAATCGTATTCATGTACATTACCTATACCTATATTATTCATTAAATTGCCTAAATCTATAACGTATAGTATTAAATATTTAATTATAACCAAACAATTTATCATTTGTAATAAGTGTATAGGATAAAATTATATAAAAAAAATAATATTAAAAATGTATCACAAACTTGGAATCTTAAAATATATATTTCATATTTTTACTTACAATTTATACATTTATGTATTTATGATATTGTCGTACTAAAATGTTTATATCGTATACTGGATTATTTGACCATATAAAATCAACGTAAAATGCAGCAATAAAAGCATATAATAGTGTAATTTAGAATTATTGTGAGCTGTTATAAAACTGTTAAAACCGTAAAAATAAAGAAACATTTATTAAAACTTTCAAAAACACTCAATTTTGTTTTCGTTTTTATGATTAATATATGTAAAACTTAAACAAGTTATTTATTGAAAGTGTTTTTTTTTTTTTTAATACAATTAAGTCGGCTAATTCTAAATTAAGTTTCTATATCTATTTAGAGTTATTTGATAAATTTTAAAAATAACAATTATTATTCAATATTTATAAATATATTTTGTATTGGCACACTGTAATGATACATATTGACTATAAATGTTTAAGATCGAAATAATTAAAAAAAAAGTTTTCAATAGATAAATAAAAAATTTGAGATTTTTACAAAGTATGGAATCTTTGAAAAAGAGGTGACCGTTTGGAATGATTTATGACTTCAGTAAGCTTATATTTTATCATTTTATTCCAACTGTGGGTATACCTACGGCTACTCGTATGATAGGTTTTCAACTTCCATATTAGATTTTGTTAAAATGTTGGTATAAATAATATAATAATATTTTTTTTTATGGTAACAAATAATATTTGTATACTGTATACTGTATAATATATTATTTTATCAATATCTTTATCACATTGAAAATTTATAAAATTTTGTTAAAATATTTCTATTTAAGGTTGATATTTATTCTCATTGTTTCAGGGTATTAGCTGATAATCCTATTAAAGAGATACACCCCGGAGCATTTCTAAACAATATAAGATTAAAACGACTGTAAGTAGTTTTATAATGATTAATATTAATATGATACAGATAATTCACACATATATATTATCCGGATCAATAATTGTTTTTATAGAAATATTATCAAAAAAATATAATATTATTATTATTTTCATACTCCCTAAGCATATTCAAATCGTGGAGGGATGCCAAACATCCATTCTAAGCATGACAAATTTTGTCCCAAATCTATAATAAATTCTTAAAATACAGTCCATTAAACTTCTAAATCGTTCATTGGTAATTTTTTTATTTTTGTCAACTCGTTTTGCTTCCATAATAAATTTATCTATGCCTTTTATTCTCTCATTCGATTAACAAACACCTCTCCGCAGAAATTCAAAGGCAATTATTATCAAAAGACTGGATGCAGTCCAAAACTTTACTTTTTTCCCAGAGCCATTGAAACGGGAATTTACGGTTGTGACGATTTCCTTTTCTATGGAAATAATAGAATTCATAAAAAAATCGAAATGCTTGGTTAAAAAAATATATATAATATGAATTGAAATCCATTACGCAAAGATGGACTTAGACTGTGTATAAAAAAAAAGTTTACATAAGTATAGAAAGTAACGTATTACCACTATTTTTTTTTCATATAGGTCGTTCCAGAAATGTCAGCTTGTCCGGGCGCCATGTGAAACATTCCAGAGTTTCAGACAACTGTCGTCCTTGTAAGAATAAAATTCACATAGTTTTTTCGTTTGCCATGTTCTTTATCCTAAAAGCATTAGCATAAACCTTATCGGTGTCATATTAAAGCTTCTTGGTGCACCATTTCTGCGGTGTTTATCCTAAATGGTGGTTGGTCTCTACATCTTACGGTTGTGGAGAAAGTAAAGAAAGTATAAAAACCTAACGAAGTTTAGGACTATGAAAAACAAGGACTATAATATCCTTCGTGGTAGTATTTTTTTAAACATACAATTCACACGTTTAGGTAACAGAGTAAATATTATTATATATATATTATTACCGTTGCAAGATAAACAATGCCAGTTTTATTTATTTAGTTTGTTTTTTAAAACTATTTTATTTTCGTTTTTAGACAGCTGGATCAAAACCATTTGACTGAGATCGACGATCAGTGCTTCGACCAACTATCTCAATTGAGGAATCTCCGACTGGAAAATAACAAACTCACCAAAGTTCCTAAACAAGCGTTAAGCCTAGTCCCTACCTTAGAAGCATTGTGAGTACCTGTTCATATTTATTATTGGTTATTAACAAGAATCGATGATTAATTTATGAGTTTTTAATACAATAAAATAAAACTATATTGTAATTAACTTTGGAAGTGGACTCATAAAATATTTAAATAAATCTTGAATTGTTTTTTTGCTGATAATAAAAGTCAGTGCAAAGGCATTAACCGTCATATTTTTAACTACCGACCTGACGTAGTTAATAGGTACTATAAAGTACTGGTTAATAACCCATTAGCACCTAACCGCCAACCACAGCCCTTAAAAAATCAGACAAAATCAGTTCCAATAATATTGTATATTTAGCTTATAATAATATAGTGTATACATTTAGAATATACCATGGTTATTTTCTCAAAATAAACAATTGTAAGTTGAACATTAGTTATTATATTATTATCGTCACTTAACGTTCGTCGTAAAAAAAATCGCCGACTACTACCTACAGACTCGGTTATTTTTTTCTTTTTGTAAAAACACCAATCCATAAATATGTCATAATTTCTTAGAATCTAAAAAAAAATAGAAAGGTCAAGGGGATCCATCATCCATATTATCAGTATCCATACGTTGCATACCCTGAAATACGTCACAGAATACAAGTGATGCCGAAATATATTTTGTTAAATTTAAAATTGGAACAGTAAGGCGTTATGTTTATGCAATAATGATGCATTCATGCGTAGGTATCATAAATCAATAGAGATAACTATTATACTGTTGTAATATAATATAATATCATATCATATAGTAAAATATGTAGTTATATGAAATACAATCGACAAGAATAAATAATGGAAAATCTTAGGTTACATCTTAACAGAAAAAAAACTAACGTTTTGTTAAACTTTTTTGTTCCTCACAACGATATTTAGTTCCATACTTAATGTTAGGTTGTAAAATATGTTAATCCTAATAAATTATTAATTTACGATGTAGGTACATTCACTTTTTAAAACTTGAGCCAACAAATGCTATTTTAGTTATGAATTGTTTTTAATGTTTCATCAAGTTTCTAATTACATCGTGAATACTATGAATAGATTAACGGCATTATAATTTTATTAATACTCATTATAGTTATATTTGTTAAATGGTTTTCGGGTTTATTTAAAATTTAACAGTATTTCGTTTTCTCATTATTGTGATTCATACGTAGTTACAATAAAAGAGTTCCGTTTGGACAATCTGTTAAATCAATAAACGAAAAAATTATCTTCAATAATATGGACATTCGTCAAAAAATATAATACCTTTGTAAAAAAATTGTAAATTATTGATTTATCGTGGGAGTTTCTTTATATTTTTAAATATTTGGTAAAAATAAAATTGCTTGTTGTCAATTAGGTTTATACGAATTCGACATCTCGTGTCTTTTCAAACATGCATATCATTCGAAGATGTTAAAAAAGGAACAAGATCAGGTTTTATTGTTAGTACACATGTCGCCAGTTTTGCGACTCGATAAAAATCCCCTTAGGGGCCAAGTGGCTGCGTTGCGTGACGAGAAAACTTTATTATTTAGGATTTTTTGTTGTTATTATTTTATTCAGTTGCATTTCTATTTCTATCTTTTATTTTTTTTTTCTAAAAAGGCCTCTACAGTGATGATAAAAAAAAAAAGGACGTGGAATAGAATTTTCATTGTAATTAACTCAAAGTGTCAATACTACAATTCAAAAAATTAAATTCAGTTTATGATTTTTATTGTGTACCATATCCTATTGAAACTGTAAACGTAAAAATATTAGAAAAAAATTATCGAAAACAGTAATTTAAATTTATTGATACATCGTTCGTAAATAGCCATAAATGTGAAAGGGTGTTATCTATTTATTCACTGTTTGTTATGTATAATATATAAATATGTTTAATTAATTTAATTATTTTTTATTCTATAATTTGACTTTTCAGCTAAGCGAAGTATACATTTTTACATTAATTTATAGCTACACAGGTTATTAACTCAAAATCCGCTATACTGGTGTTTTATAAAAGTTTGAACCATTTCATTCATATTTGTACATATGATTTTACGATAAGAACAATAAAATAATGTATTGATTGTTTATTTTTATTTAAAGAAAAGGTAATCGATTTTATACGACTTTATAAATTTCTCACCACACAATGTCTTATGTATTAAGTTCTTATAGCTCACAGAGATTATATTATACAATACAAATAAGTAATAATTTCGATCGACATGTTCGGAGTTAAATTTAAAACGAATTCGGTTTCTTGAATCGTAAACATTAAGAAAAATTCATACAGTTCAATGTAATTATTACTTTTAATATTCAATAAAATAATTTCAGCTTACTGACGTTTCTGACTTCAGTTGTCTAGAAACTAGTGAGTTTAACATGGTCTCTATTATTTTCTTACCAATACGTATATAGTTTAGTGAAGGAATCGTATTGAAAGTCCTCTATTACACAATAATGTTGGGTTAGTTATCCATACAACCTCTTATTATAGTTGTATTTGAGAAGCCCAATCCAGTTGTCTGTGGTTAAACAGCTATACTTATAATTGAAATTACCTATGTTAAGAATTTATATTATTCCGCCGGTATCAATCATATTACTTTTTTTTTATCCACGGTATTGTCACCAGATTGTGGTCTGACCCTCTAGTTTCTTCAAACTTGTATGTAATAATTGTATGGTTCGTACCATAGATAATAGACAGTAAGAGCACCAAGGCAAGTTCAAAAAGATGAGTGCGTAATATGAACCGATTCATCCATTTGTTCTCACTCTCATACTTCTGCTTCCTGGATTCTATGGCTTTAGACATTTTAAACATTTATTGAGCCTACAAATGGCTTAGAACAATGTAAATGGGCCCATAATATCAAGCTTCTTATTAAGACTCTCAAATTTTACATTTTTGTCACTGACTCACTGATTTACTGACTCATGATCAAAATTATAAGGCACGTTCCGTATAGGTTAGGTACCTAACCTAACCTAGAAAGGTGAAATTTGGCACAGAAGTTTGTCATATAGGTAACTAGTATAAGTTAAGTTAAAAATCTGAAAATTGAAATTTTGTGCAGACTAGTGCACTTTAGGGAGGAGAGTTTCAAACGCGTGTGATAATATTAGACAACTTCCTATACCAACTAAAAAATAAGCAAAGTGATGGACTAAAGAAAGAGTATACTTGGCCTTAATGTAGATATCACTACTTTGATCGACTGACTTTTTTTGTTAAATGGTTTTTAAATTGACCTTTTTCTAACAGGTTTTTAGTATTTGTTTACAGATAATACTTATGGAAAATATTTTTATTTTGTTTCGTACTTTTCTTCTGAAAATTTACCTACAATGTAGGTCCTAAATATTTTTATATTATACGTTACGTCGTTGCCTAATCAATTATATTTCACTCAAATCATTTTATGGTGTAGGTATAACGTTTTTCAATCAATTATGTTTGGACAGTATAAATAAATAAATAACGATTACAATAAATAAATACTTACTTGTATATGTTTAAAGTGTGCTTTAAATTGAAAATAAATGTACTCGTACAGTTCTGTTAACGTTATATTATGACTTTTCATAAAAAAAAAAAAGAAACGAAACGAAAACAGACCATACTAAACTCTTTTCTGGATAAATAAGCGTTTTAAATTGTTTTTTATATATTGTTACTTTAATGATTATCCTAATTGAATAATTGAATACGTTTAAAAAATAAATAGGGTTATTTATATTTCGTTATCCTTCTAAGCATGGCCGTGTCCACTATATAACCCCCTTCGTCAGGTGGTTTTATAATTATTATAATAAAAGTTTTGATACATTTATTGCATGGTTTGTATTTGTGTACTTAATTGATCATATTATATTCTATATATGATTACCTATGTATTAATCTTAATATTTCATTACAGAAACTTGGGAAGTAATTCAATTGTAGATATTTCAAATGACTCGTTTTCCTCGTTACCCAATCTGGTCATATTGTAAGTATACATAAATATTTTTATTTGTAGGCTTAACATTTTTTGCATATTCATTTTAATATTAGTTTAACTAATAATAAAATATTTCGTTTAAGCAATAAATCTTGATAGCAATATAATGTTACTTATACTTATTAGTTATTAGTTATTAGCTCGTATAACTATTTTCGATGAAACAAAAGTGACGTAATGACGGGAATCAACTATAGTTCTATATTAAATGTGGCAGCAGCAATATAAAACTTATATAAGGAACTAAATACGAATATAATATCCTAAGAAGTTTCGATACGTTTTATTTTAATATAAAATACTGATTTTTATTTAATAAATATTGTTAAAAAGTTTGTTACATAAAATAAATTTATTATTTACCATTTTTTTTTTCATTTTAATATTATCTATCGATATTCGATATATTATCTAAGTACTTTATACAAATGTTATCAAAATATATACATTTTTATTTATTGTTTAGTTTTAATGTTAAAATCGTCATAAACATTATACGTTTTATAATAAATAAATAAAACACTTACAATTATATTCTTAGTATCAATGTATCATTAATCGAAACAATTTTTGGTTGTATCGATTTATAAATGTTTTTTCTTTATTGTTTGTTTTTCTCGTGTTGGATTATTAATTTAAACACATAAAATACACATATTTAGTTTTATAACCCTACTTAAAAGTGCCTTTTGTTTGTGACATACTTTTAAAAGCTATAAATAACAATTTTTACGGTATATTATTTTGAAGTATATTTTTGACCATTTTTAACACATAGTATTATAAGTTTGCCTATATCGTGATTTAGGGCGATAAGTTATGATACCTACACATTAAATGTTTTTCAAATAATGTATTAATATTTAATAGCATCTACTTTTATGAATTATGAAAAGAGTTTATTATAATTTTTGTATTATAAACACGTTTTGTTTGATTAAAAGATTATAAAATTCTATGAAATATATTGTTATTAGAAAATGTAATAAAAATAAATATTTATTTTATTATAAATACGCCAATTACTTATAACATTTTGGCACGTTTTTTAAAAAATATTTTAAATAAATAATAATATACGGTTTTTAATTTTTAATCATATAAATACTTTAAATTTATTATTAGTTATTTATTTTAACTTGCTTAATCCCTTTATGTTTTGAAAAATAAAGCGTACTAGCTTATAAATAATTTTTGTTGACAGTTTTCACAAGTTCTTATTAAATGTTATGTTTATAGGCTACTTAAGAGAAATCAAATCGGATTCGTGGATGAAACTGCGTTTGAGAGCCTTACTTCTTTGAAAATATTGTGAGTATTAACCATCAATATTTTTAATTTTATTGTGTTATTAAAGATGTCCAGATTAACCACATTGCAATTATTTTAGTTAATTTACTATGGCTTTGTATCTATATTTCATTTTTATTGGTAGATATGGGAACACGTATCTGTAATATTTATTTTACTTATAGTGGTAGTTAATTTTGATATATTTTGTAACTAAAACAACGTTAAAATAATTAATATTCGTAACTATAGTATTTAAATGTATTAACAATAACGAAAAATTATAAGTTTATTTTGAATCTTAAAATGTATTATGGTTTTTATTGTTTTTAAACATAATATTGCAAATTCTGTTAAATATAGTTTTATAAAAATCATATTAGAAATGGTTTATTTTTGTTTACTATTTTCATAACTTTAGAATGCTAATTAACTTTTTGAAAGCAAACTATTTTAATAATACTTCAGAGGGCTTATAAAAACATTTGCTTGTTTTTTTTTTTTCTTAAGTGTAGGTACTTAAATAATTATTTGGATCAGGTGATCTATATATCAGATACCAAAGTATATATCCACGAACAAATAATATATTATGTAGATAGAAGCCGTACAATATTAATATTTGTACGGTTCTTTAAAATACCTACATCTATTATGTAATTTATTTTTGCTTGCATTTAATAAATCTACCGTAATAGGTGACTTACTACATAATAGGGCCTATTAAGTTTTTACCTGACATACTAAAGTCCTAATTATAATTCAGATGGCTCATACAAATTTTAAATGTTTCATCTGAAAAATTGTTTGAAATGTACTTAAATTTAAAAACATGAAACCACAAAACGTTTGTATTACAGTCAATATAAATTAATTAATAAACGCTTGGTAAATACTGACTTACATGTTTCGTTAATTAACAATGATTGTATAACTGAATGAATTGGATTATGTAAGTAGGATAATATTTTACCAACGAATTTGTATTACATTTATAGTTTCAAAACAATTAACATAAAACATAAATTCTTTAAATTATGTAGGTACTTCAATAAGCTCCAGGTATCTGTATATTTTTTCTCACCATTTTTTTTTATTTTAAAAATTGTTTAAACTCTTAATTTTGAGAATGGTTATATTGCGTGATGTGTCCGATTCATAAAAACAATTTAAAAATTAAGACAAATCACATCATAAATAAGGACCTGTGGGTACCTATGTTTAAAATAATATAGGTAGGTACTCAATTAATATAAAATAGTAGTTAGGTATTAAATTATCGTTTGAATAAGTTAATAACTTAATCAATAAGAAAATATCATTTATTCTTTTTAAAATAAGGTTATAATATTTTGATAAATATAGTTTTCATATTATAGCATCGTATTGTAGTTACACATTGTTTTGTTTAAGTTTTTACATAAATTAATTTTGTTTCGTACAACTTATAATTATTAAACTTAATATTATTTTAAATACAGTACAAACTTTTTATAAATATAATGCCTAAAAACACACATGAAATGTTTCTAGTGAGATAATTACCCATTTACACTTATAGCTTATAGTTTACACCAATTTATAGTTTGGAAAATCTTTAATTGTGCTGAATAACAGCTGGCGTAGTTTTGAGATATCTTGTAAGTGACTTTTGAAATCTTTAATGGTAAAGACTAGACATCATATATTATAATATGAAGTACCGGTTGCAGCTGTTCCTTCCTAAGGGAATTGTCGTTAAGACTAATTAATACAATTTATTTATTTTTTCGCGTATTTTAAAGGTCGCTCTCAGTTTTTTATTATGACTGCTTTTATATTTAATGTTTGACAAAAAGCAAATACATATTATTATTACAAAAAAAAAAAAAATATTAAAACCTTTATACAATTTTTATAGTAATTTATTTATAGAGGTAATATATTTTAATTATTCGTGGATTTAAATTTAGTAATTACTCTGACCTTTAAACTTCGCAAACATAAAATTGCACTTATTTTTAGTTTTTATTCACGATAACATATTATTATGAAATGCTGATAATATTTTGATTTTAATATTTATGCCAACGTTCCTATTGTGCTATACATTCCACTGAAAATCCAATGAATTAAATTCCTACAGTTAAAATATTATGATGGTAAATAATAATATAATATACAACAATTAATGTATAGAGGGTTATTTATAGCATAATATATATATAGGTACCTATAGAATGTATTTTATGCTATAAATTATAATCGATTTGTTTTTATCAAGACCTTTTTGTACAAATTGTTTATTATTATTTTTATCTTATCTATAACAAAAAGCCAGAGGCACTTTGAAATTATTATTGTTTTTATTGTACTGTTTGATAGCGATATCGAGCAGTGGGTCCGACGACGGCGGCGGTGGCGTCGTTGTCAGTGGCAATGGTGTTGGCGGCGTTGGAGGTGGCGGTGGTGGTGGTGGTGGTGGTGGTCAGTTGGCTGGGTATTACTTTTTGTGTAGTCGTTGTTAAGTGGGCCAAAATAATTTTGATTTTCCGCTGACTGCTTTCCGGTTCATTTTCCCGGAAAGCCAAATAACGCACAACGCTGGAGTTCTCGGAAATAGAACAAAAAAAAAAAAATTGCTAGATACCACCCTCCGGGGATTAATCGTTTCAAATCGTGGACTGGAGTGATAATAAAACCGAGCACTCCACCTTTTATTTCATTCGTTTTCACGTGGTGGATAGTGAAACATAAAAAATAAAACACACACACAAACACAACACATACGATGAACCTGCGTTATGTATTATTATTATTGTAGGCGCAAGGCACAAGAGATTTAAAAACATTGCGACCATTGTTAGAGTCGCAATTTCAATGAAAACCTAAGACACATTAAGCCTCATACGTCCTATTTATTTCAGTTAGTCGTATGGTAATAATAATAATAATATTATTATACTCCCTCTTACTCAATAATCAGAAAAGAATTTGAACTGTGGTGGCAGGTTTTTTAAACACATAATATTAGATTACAATTATATTACAATTTATTAAAATTATACTACTGTTAAATAATTGTTTAAATTAAAATATAATTAATAGATACATTATTTTGATGTCCGGTGATTAGAATGGATTGTTTTATTATCCAACGGCACTTAATGATCACATAATAGAAGTGTTATACACTTGCAAAATAATATGTTATTATATGATATTATAATACTCATTATTTGCAGAAGTAAATTTAATCAAAAAAACTATAAACGCTTCATAACTTCAATACCTACCTTAACCAGAAAAAAATTGGGGGGGGGGGGGTTGCAGTAGGTAACCTCTTTGCTGTACAGTAAGTGTCGAGTGACAAGTGTACCTCATTATAGAGTAAGTTATAGCAATGTATGTGTTAAATTTGATTTCAATTGTTCAATTTAATTTTTAGCGAAGACCACCGTCTATAACCATGTAACCTACCTGTATTTAATTATTTATTTAAATTGATTTATTTATATTTTTATTGTTGTAATTTATTTTACTATTAGTAATGCGGTAGGTTGAAATAATTTTTCCCGAAAATATTGAATTCCTTATATTTAATTACTGTAATAGTTTTTACCTAATATTTATTATATAATTTGTATATCTAATGTGATTATTGAGTGATTAATAATCACTGATTATTTATGATTCAATACCGATTTACGGTAGAATGTTGTGAAAAGGTTCGTAGTATAAAATAGGCAATGCCTTAAAATTAATACATATATTTTTAATGTAATTGTGTTTATACATTTCAACAATTTAAGTAAAAGTGTCTTCAAGTCCTCACAAATATTTTTGAATTAGAACAAAATTGTTATTCTTCAGTTAATATCTATTCTAGTTTTTTCCATACTTTAACTTCAAATGTCTGTACAAAAAAATACACTACTGATGATAAACCTTGTATTAAATTGTTAAGCCTTTTATCCGATCGTAAATTGTTCTATTGACAATACTATTGAAAAAAAAAATAAACTTTTGAAGATTGCACATGCATAAATAACTCGACAGTTTCCCAAATATTTTGAAAATTATACCACTCATAGAAAATGTTAATATAGGTAGATGAGTTTAATCCCGAGACCTACTTTAGGTATTAGTTGATTCCCGGGTCATCAAGAGATATGTACGAGTTGATTCCCTGATCATCATATATTGTTTTCAATATTTAGTAAAATATTCAGCCTATTAGACTAACCCAAGAAACACCACGAGGAGGCTGAATGACAAGTTTCTCAAAAATGTTGTTCATTCAATTTTTTATTAAAATATTATTAGTCAAAAAATTTAGTAGGTAAAAAATTACTATTAAAAAATTTATTAATTAAGTAAAAATTATTATTGAAAAAATTTAGTTATGTGGTAAAAATGTCAGGGTTGACATGTTTAAAACATTAAGTTTTTAAAATGTATAACACATTGTTTTTAAAAATGTTTTATCTGGTAATAAGATTTCCAGTATACCGTGACATAATGATCCGGGAATCAACCAATACATAAAGTAGGTCTCAGGAATCAACTCACCTACTGCGATTTCAAGAACCTATAGTATGTACGATATATTATTAGTTTTTCAAGTTTTTGAATTACAACAAAATGGGGAAATCGATTTAGTCAAAAACAGGTTTTGCGTAACAACTCACGGTTTTCCAAAATTATTGTTTGTTTGTATTTCTCAATAATATTTTTAAGAAAAGTATTGCGAAATTTTTACTATTTTAACCCACTCAAAAAGTACCAACTAGATTCACTTTCCTAAAAGAAAAGATGTTTGTTGAAGCTGAAAATCTCAGCACTTTTACTGCTCCAAAACGTGATTAAAGTGACAAGAAAAAAAAAACTCACTTCATTGTAAAATCAATACCGCTCAGAATCTAAAATGTCTGGGATACTGTATAAGCCAAATAAATTACTCACATGCATATACGACGATGAAATGGAAAGCAATAATTTATCGCACAGCAGCAGCGTATATGATCATAATAACGGTACTTCATCGATGTCGGTGGATCATACTCACCAGGCGAAAAAAAAACAAACTTTTTATCAGCCGTCGTTAAATCCGTGTAAAATCACACGCGTTTCTTATCCGTCCTAAAATACGACATAATATAATATTATATATAGTTTCGCCGACGAGCTTATTTCACAGCGTATTTAACCGAACCGACCGGGTCAATGGGTTGCAATCGTCGTCGTCGTCGGTCGTCTGTCTTTCGGTATCCTTTTTTTTTTTTCATTCATTTTATTATTATTTATTTTCGCTGTGGGTCAAAGACCTCTCAGGGAAAACGTCACCACCAATGCCACCGCCGCCGCCTCCATCTCACGCTGCACATAATAAATCGGAGGGCGTTTATGATTGTTGCGAGATATTTTATCTCGGTCGTCGTAATATAATAACAATAAAATCGGATTTTACGAGACTAGGGATTATTACGTATATGTTACTGTACGTTATTCCCGACATTTTTCTCATTTTTCCGCGTCCGTTTGTGTAATGATAATATAATTATATAATAGTATTATAATATAATAATACATATTATTATTGTTATAAAATACGGTGCGTATGTGACGCGTATTAAATCTCGTGTGTGTTTTCCAGGGAACTCGACGACAATCAGTTGGATACGGTCCCGGTCGCTCTTGCCAAGTTGACGTCTCTACAGGAGCTGTAAGATTATTATTATTATTATTATTATTGCGAATATTTTTTTAATAAATAATTATATGCATGTACCACGTTCATATATTATACGCCGTGCACAGACGTGTACCGTACTCGCGCCTTTAACTCATTGAAGTCTGTTGGACGGTTTTTGGCAGATAAGTCACAATTATATGGTACTCGTCCACTTGGGTTTCGGTTCTTGCATCTCGTTTATACGAACTCCTCTCTCTCAACACCCCCACCCACCCCTTCACCACCAACATTCCCACAACACGCACCCTAGTAATGTGTTTTTAATTCAGGATCGTCTGTAATTTTTTCAGTTTCAACGACATAATATTATTCGGAAAGTTTTTCATTCGCAGGAAAACATATTTTATAAAAATAAAAGTAGTTGCTCTGTGTCGTGCGATTCGCATTCACTCCGTGTACTGGAAAACATATTTCAAATGTTTGTACATATTATTTGTATATATTTCGGGAAAAAATGAATAAATAACGCAATTTGAATAGAAATTTCGATTTAATTAAAAACCAACAGAATCGTTATACGGATGAAATTTATTATTTTTTATAATGGAAATTGTTATCTTGTAACTATTTATGCATGGTTAGAGAATTACGCCACTTCAAAAAAAAAGTATCCTAGACCTTATGAGGTCTATGGAAATAATAATAAAAGCAAAAAAAAAAAATGAAATGAACCATAAAAAGTTTTTTCGGTCGCTGTGGATTATTTGGCTGTGAAATCGTTATCATTGTTTCTCAAATTAATTTAAATATTGCAATATGTATAAATTAAAATGTAATAATATTAACCTAAAAATTTAATTTTCGTTTTGATAGCCATAAGTTGTATGTACGATAAATTTAATTTAAATGTATATAGGTATGCTTGGAAGTTATAAATTTATTTAGAGACGTAAATAAAGAAATAAACGAATATAATTTAATACTTACTACATTTTTTAAGTTTTTAATAGCTTTCGTACAGAGTTTTAACGATTTTCTTGCTATTTCAAACGATGAAATTATAAATTTTTCTCGGTTTTTTTACTTAAAAAAAGAGAGCAAAACCGTTTGGGACACCATTTCTTTATCTTTTTCAACACCTTCAAGGTCCGAAGTATTATTTTTCTTATTTATTATATAACGTGATATATTATTAAAAACACCATTTAATGTAAAAGATAATATATTTTTTTAATGTCTTTTATGTTGCCAAAATATTAACAGCAAAACAAATTATTTGCTTCTCAACTTCAGTCGTTATCTTGAAAAATATAAATTTGAGTAGGTACCTACAATTAATGACACAGCGTACCAAAACTGATTTAACGTCATATTTAGATAGACATTTTTTTAATTTGATTGTTAATATTATGTACCAAAATTAATAACACATCTATGAATGTTTATAAATTCGCTATTTGGAATACATCCAATAGTTTTGGTTATGGCCAACATTAACAAATAATTATTGTTAATCTTTGGGATAAACTTTGAATACGTTCCAAAAAATAATAAATAAACTAATACGAAATGGCTTACGATGTGCTTTATAAGCTTGGTACAATAAAACTATAATGTGTACAGCGTGAAAATTTTTAACGACCCGGTATTATTAAATAATAACAATAATGGTAAGTATAATAATTTGTTTTAAATAACAACTAGGTAGGTATAACATTATGTCTTTTGAATAAAATAAAATAATTTATTGTTTTAATTAATTTAGATTTTAATTATACATTTATGTAACAAAATTAAGAAATAACATTGATCAAATGGATTTGTGAATAGAGTAGGTATACTTACCGATATTCATAATTTGTGTTTTGTATTTAACAAAACAGCATTTAAATTAACATTTAAATATTAAACGTGCATCTTGTATAATTCTACTCGAATACAGTTGTTATGAATTACTTCTATAGGCTAACGTAACATAGTTTGATATGTCAATGTCCAATTTTCCTAGGGTGGATTTACATTAAATGTAAATATGCATTTGGGAACAAATAAATACAAAAAGGTAATAACACAGACATCGAAATAAATATGAATATTAGATACGTATCGGATACGTATGTATTGTTCATCATATTCATATATAAATAATAAACCATATAATATCATACACATTACACATATACATATAGTATACCATTATATATTATGCACATATTATTATACATAATATAATATACTATATAATATTATATAGATATTATTATTCACACATTGGAACGAAAAGTAATGTGTATTAAAAGTAAAGTGGGGTAGTGCACTAGAGTCGTAAAGAGATATTATATGATATGTAGAATACGATTATGGAGAGTAAAAAAAAAAATGAGAAAAGAAAAACCGGTGTAGAAAATAAGGTCCTCGTGTAGTAAGTTATATTATGACGTATATAAATAACACGGTTTTATGAAAATTTGAAACAGAATAGTGTTAGGATTTGTTATAGGTATGTTATGGGCAACATAAAGTCGGGACATGAATGAATGACATGGTTTTAGTGTACCGTGCAGTTATCTTAAAACAAATGTTATGCTTCATAATAATGTATAACGTATAATAGATGATATACGGCGTAGGTTAAGTTATTATATTGTATAGAAGTGTTGAGTATAAAATAAAAAGACGTGTAATATCAACTCGAAACAAAAAGGTCCCATCCCCGCGGTTGCGGTCGTCCCTCGGAAGACTTATCAAAACATTATTTCAGATCCTCTGGTAATTTATGACTAAAATAATACGACATTGTTAGTACACGGTCCGAAATTCGTATCATAAAAATCTTTACACAACGTGTTATTTAGAGGTTTTATAATAAAGCGTACTTGGTTATTACTTAGGTACGTTAACCCTAGAGTACCAGTATACCTATACGTATATTACACGCATTAAGTATTTAGGTATAATAGGAGTGATATTGGATAATATATGGTGCCGAGGTATTATTAAAACGACACTTCGTGCTGTGGTTGTCCTCATTTTCAAAACGTGTTCTGAGTGCCAGCACTTTCCGGTGTCACTATAGTTCCCTGATGGGTGATCGCCTGATGGGTTTTAGGGACGTATCGTTGCCGCACGTATTCATACCAACCGTACCTCTGACCCCCCAGTAAAAAACCAACTTAAAAATATCCCTCACCCAATGGCCTATATGTTGCAGTGGATTAGTTAATAATAATAATAATAATAAAGACACTTAATTTATTTTGGGGTATGTTTCAGGTCGTTGTCCGGCAATAATATTAAGTTCGTGCCCGATGGCGTGTTGCAGCGATCACAAGGTCTAGCACTGCTCGAGCTCAAAGGCAACCCGTTGATTGGCGTACACCCGTATGCGTTCGCTTCCCTACCGAAATTAAGAAAACTGTGAGTGTGACTGGTCATATAGATTTGTCGGATTCTTACGTAGCAGTCGGTTACCACAATATCATAATAATTGTCTAGACACAATGTCGTGTTGTTAACAGTAACAATAATAATTATTGTTATCATCATTGTTGTTCCAGGGTGTTGTCGGAAGCCAGAGAACTCACCGAGTTTCCGAATCTTAACGGGACGTCGGCACTCGAAGTGCTCCGAATCGACAGGGCGAGCATTTATTCGATACCCGATACGTTGTGTACGACTTGTCCTAAATTAAAAAGCCTGTATGTGATACTATATACCTACTTTCCACGCTAATGTATTACGTTATAATTAATTGTATTATTGTGTGTGTGTGTGTTACTTTATAGTGACATCAAGTCGAACAGATTATCCAGGATACCAAATCTCAATAAGTGTAAAGAACTCAGAGTGTTGTGAGTATAGATTTCTATTTTCAACGCATTTATACATACCTACGTGATAATATTTTTAATACAATATTTTCATAAAAAACATTTGTAATTTGTATGCAATAATAATATTATGTTCGATTTATCTTATCCATTCTAACAACGTGGTTTGAAAATACAAACACACGTTAATTACTTTACATAAATAACAGTAACATTATATTTTATTATTATTTACGAATATAAAAATTAATAAAAACAGTGAATAATATTTTATGTTATCGAAACGTATTAATAATTCCAATGTCAAATCATATACATTGTTTGATTTGATTATTCATTTCATATCATAGTGGATTGCATATCATTGCACACAAATCATATAACGCTCGAGATTTATTCGCATTTGATTTTGCAGAGATTTGGCTAATAACCATATAGCTTCATTGGATGGATCGTTGTTCCGGAACCTCTCTCATCTCCACGACTTGTTACTCGGTCACAATTACATAACTTCGGTACCCAGAGACGCCTTTCATGGATTGGTTCAGCTCAAAGTATTGTAAGTGCGACGATTACATTACCACTAGATACCGCTGTCACAAGAGAAACAATATTATTATCGTTGCCAGAGAAACATCTCGGCCACGGATATAATGGCGTTCACAGATGGCGCTAAAATAATAATTATAACAATATCTAATAATAGTAATAATAACAATAATATTATGTTTTTGTTTTTCCAGGGATTTGGAATCGAACAAAATAGACCGCATTGACGACGAAACGTTTTTATCGTTTACCCAACTGGAAGATTTGTACGTACTCGTTGATATAATATTATAATTGTATTGTTATCGATCACGGCTATGATGTTTGAACTATCGACAATTGTGAATTATTATAATCCATTTACAGAAACGTGGGCAAAAACGTATTCGAACAACTACCCACCAAAGGCCTGGAGAGACTGTTGCACCTGAAGACGTTTAACAACCCGAACCTGAGGCAATTCCCGACACCCGAACACTTTCCCAGGATTCAATCTTTGGTGTTATCGTATGCATACCACTGCTGTTCGTTTTTGCCGCTCCAGTCCGAAGACGATTCGCCGCCATCTTCCCAGACGAGTCTCCACGAGTCCGTCATATTTCCAGCCAACGAAAACGATTTCGACATGACTCTCTGGAATTCCAGCATGTCCGACATATGGCCCCAATTGCGTTAGTATAGACATACCAGTATTCGCTCGAAGTAATATCCCCAGAACTATAGAACCCGAGAGAAAATGTGATTGAAAAATAAAATAACCATGCTATATTCACAGCTGAAATATAGTTTTTAATATTCAATATTTTATTAATCACAACGTATAAAATAAAAGACGACTTTTTTACATTAAATATTATTAAAAAAGAAATATATAATAATTCCGTATAAATACAAAGAAATTAATGTCTTAAAAATAATTATAGTTGTAAAATTAATCAGTGCATAATATTATAAGATACAATTATTAATGTATTAGGTTTCACACTATTTTTTTTTTTTGTTGGCTGAACGGTCAATACATTATACACAGACATTATTATACCTACTATGGCACTATGCCACGCTATGGTCATTTTTTCACCCGAATATTGTTCCCCTGGGATTTTTATTCCTGTGCATATTTTTTCCCCGGATTCTTTTATCTAGATTACAGCGGAATCGGCTTTTGTAGGACAAAATATTTTGAAATTTTCCTCAGCGTCCGAATAAATTCAATTCTAGTACAGTACAAACCTGCAAACAATTCATAATAAATATGTAATTACCTGCTTTGAAAATTATACAAAAATTCAATTATTCAATTAACATCGTACGAGTCTACGACTAAGTGACTTTAAGACGTGTTATGTACGCATCTGGGAAAGAAAATCGTATGGATGTATGGATCATAAGTAAGGTGTAGACAATTCCAAAATATGTTTTGTCGTACAGTATTAATACCTAAAAGGAACAAATGGTCGTTGATCGATTTCGAAATCTTTTGCCCAGCGTCCTTTTCGTAATTTTAGACTTTCATTCCCCTTCGACTGTGTGTATTATTATAATATAATTATCATTATCAATACAACTTTCCATATTAAAGTTTATATTTTTCTTAAAAGATTCAATGTTATAATTGTTTTGATGCACTCGTTGGCGTGCATTGATTTTATGATTATAAACATAGTTAAAATAACCAGAGGTAATTTGAAAAACACAAATATATTAGCTACACATGTTTTTCTTTTTTAAAAATATCTATTTTATGAGTAGATAGTTTGCAGTAAGTACTATTTTAATGAGACTGAACAGTAAATACCCACGTAATGTAAAGTAATTTGTATATTTCCACTTGATACTTACTATGTAATATTATTATTCCTTAATATATGAAAACTTTCACGTTAGAGTTATTTAATATCAACATAAAACAATGTTTTAGTTATCGATAAACAGTGACATTAAACATTATTTTCACTTCGTCATATTTCAGACTTATATATTTTTTTATCACAATATAATGTACAATTAGTTATTAAAAACTACAGTGTTCAATTAATAAATGAGCCTACCTATACTAAACCAAATCAATACAATGGGACGGATGTTGCGAAAAACGTGTCAAGTCAAAAATTCTGATTGTTCAGGAGAAGAATAAAACATTTCTATTCTTTAATTTATGTTTTTAATTTGTTAGAATAGTTATTTTCAGATTTTCATTCAACTTTAAATCTTAAATAATTTTAAGACCTTTAAAAGTGACATGACATTATTGACACAAACAATATCTGACTTGACACCTTTTGTACATATGACTTGACATTAATAACACCAATGATTTGGTTTTATAGAAGTCAGTGCTATCATACTATGTTAATTTTTAACTTTTAAGTTAGTAGCACTAACCTTTTGCAGAGAAGTTTTTATTTTATTTTTCTTAATTTGGTGTAAGAGTTCTATAAAATCTATGATAGACTGATGAACACATACTTTTTTTAAAACTAGGTACCTACTTAGTTTATTAGGTAAAAACTTTGAAAAGAATAGTCTTACAGAATATTACCTATGTAAGAAAACCAATAAAAAATCTATAAGTACCAGTACACAGCTAGTATATTAATATACTCCAGTAGGTAGTAGGTATACGGTATATTATAAATTATAATATAGGTGCTATACTTACAGAAAAAAAATAAAACTTAATATCTTAATACACCACATAGATTTCACAATGCAATATTTGCATGTCTTCATATCATGATAAAATATTAAAAACCTTATGGTACTTGAAATAGCATGAGGCAACAGGAAATTGTAATATTGAAAGGGTTTAAGGCTAAATAAAGTAAAATAACAATCATCAAAATAAAAACTCAATTTTAATTAAAATAATTTTGTAAAAACAAAAAATAGTTAAGAAGTAGGTATAGGAACATAATATTTTACTTAATATGATAAATTTTTGACATTTTAATTAAAGAACTCAAAGGTTTTATCAATAAACAAATTATACAAAAACACTATAATAATAAATGAATAATAAATATTATATAATATTGAGTGACTTGACATGTTTCTCATTAAATTAATTCATTATTTTTAACTTGACATGTTTCTCACAAAATCATTTAACTGTTATTGACTTGACTCATTTCGCACATCAGTATAACACAATAACAAGCCACTGTGTGATAATAACAGTGTAACCAATCGATGCAGCGTAAAATTTCCTACAATTTTGATGTATATATAAAAATGACCAAAAAGTGACATGAGTACATGACACGTTTCTCACAACGTCCGTCCATGGTATTGAATTCATTACATTTATTAAAAAAATATATCAGCGACCAAATAAATAAACTATATTGATTTATTATTTTTATATTGCAGAATATTAATTAGTAGGAGGCGAGTATAGAGACAAATGTTTTCAGGTGGCTGATAATATGTACCTACTACAAACAGTGAGGAACCACAGTGTGGTCACAATTTTTTTTATGATATCTATCTGCTCAATATTCTTATAATACAAATATAAATAATATATTTCATCTAGACGTATTGGGTTACAAATTATAACTGACATTCATATGAAATCTAATACATGGTTAAAGTACAACCGGAATACCATTGTCGTTATCATATTTCAGAACGTCAAAATAACTTATTAATATTGATATTAAAAATTCAGGGAATATTATAATTTATAACACAATTTATAAACTTTTGTTTCATATAATAATTTTGTATTGTGCGTATCTACGTTTAATATTACATAAATATACAAACACGTGTATTTAAAGTTTGAAAAATACAAATAGGTAGATTTTATTATATTTATGTTTTAGAGTTTTCCATAAAGCCTGTTCGCAGATGACATCATAATCATAAAATGTAGCTTGTATAAAAATACGTATTATAATTTTTATGATTGTCACTAAAAATATACTAACTATAAATATTTGCCGTATTAAAATTTACAATTCATAAAAATTGAATATCATCTGTTGAATAATGACTTATGTTTGAATAGAGTTCAGTTGTATTACGACATTTTAGGTCATATAATTATTTTGTTGATTTTTAAATGTGCAAATATACCTAGTGAGAACTTTTTTTTAATGGTATCCATGATGTAGATGGTAACTTGTATTTACATTTTTTTGTTCCAAATTTGTTCATTAAGACATTGCATTTGGATTGAAAGCTTTGCCGAAATTATCCTTAGAAAATATTGTATATTTTATAGGTAGGTATCTACTTACAAAAAAAATAATTTCTCTGTGATAAGTATACAAATATATGTAATATGCTTGTTTAGGAGTATTGAATGAAACATGAATATTGTCTATGGACTTAGTTCCCCATAAATTCAATTGTATAGCAAATTTCAAGTCAAGTTGGTGATGAACAATAATAATATTGATTTAGATAAGTTAACATTCCTTATTTTTTGATTCATGGTTCATTATAATGGAAAAATTAATTTAAAAATAAAAAAAAAAAACTACTGGTTGATTTATTTTACAAAAAGGTTCTATATCATGTAAGTTGGTCATCGATAACAAGAAATTTCGAACAAATTGCCTGATCAATCTCCAAAGGAGCAACAGTCCAATTAGTAAAATATTGTTTAAATATATTGTCTTGTAATGTAATAAGTCTTATTATTTAATTTTCTATGTTTTTTTTTCTAAATTTTTTTGTCAGTTTAAATTTAGGTAACAAAATATGTTCATGTAACACCTTTTTTGATATAAATTGAGCGTCATAATTTCCTCAACGTGTTCAATATTTTTTTTTAAGCATTAACTTATGCATAATTTTAGTAAGTACTAATAGTATGCGCTGAGAGTGACCAAACTTTCATACCCAGTCCTCTGAAGTCTTTTAATTTTTGCAATAATAAATAAGCAAATAAAACATTAAACAAATAAATAATTAAAATAATACAATATCATCTACTTGGGTTTTTTCAAGTATTGTAAAATAAAACTTTTGAAGTGATTTCATCTTTTATATTTAAAAATGTGTAGGTACTTATTGTTTAACAAATGCACACCATCTGCAGCTGACATTTTGCGTTATGGTAAAAAAGTTATCCACCCCTTTTTAAATAATTGTTCTATTCATCCGTCGTTATTTTTGTTAATATCCAGTGGACCACGGATGAAATACGATATCTATGTGAAACTATTCATGCATTTATTTTAAAATAAATATAAATTTGTAGCTTAAAACTGTCTTTATTTCACAGAAAATTTAAGTAAAAAATTTGGGACGCAAGTCAATGATTTGTGGGATTCATTTGGTTCAGACTTCACGTACCCAGGAAATTTGCCATCATACATGGAAGAATATTTTGAAGAACAACAGTTGGAAGGAAAATCACAGGATGTGATGTCATCAAAAATCAAGTGCTTGCCACTTCCAGGTAAATATTTTCATTAATCCATGTGTAATATACTGAGTCGTCGACAAGAGAGTCCAACTAACATTATTGATATAGGTCCGTTTCTGCCGTGCCAAGATCTCTTCGATTGGTGGACATTGAGATGTGGAGTATGGGTGGTGTTCTTATTGGCCATGTTGGGAAATGGGACTGTGGTGTTCGTGCTGATATTCGCCAGAAGTAAAATAGACGTGCCAAGGTTTCTTGTATGCAATTTGGCCGCAGCCGATTTCTTCATGGGCCTCTATTTAGGTATCGTCTTACAATATATAAAACTATCAAAACATAACAGTACTAGTGTAGTACTGCTGTCGGTTGTTCAGTTTTTAGCCAAGATATTCATACTTTGATGGTTTTACAGGTATATTGGCTGTCGTTGACGCTGGCACCCTAGGAGAGTTCAAAGTGTACGCGATACCTTGGCAAATGTCTGCCGGCTGTCAGCTGGCTGGCGTGTTGGCAGTGCTCAGCTCCGAACTTTCAGTTTACACACTGGCCGTTATCACACTGGAACGGAATTACGCGATCACGCACGCCATGCACCTAAACAAGCGTCTGTCACTTAAGCACGCATCTTACATAATGCTCTGTGGTTGGATCTTCGCCGGTGGCATGGCCGCGTTGCCACTGTTTGGCGTGTCTGATTATCGCAAGTACGCCACGTGCCTGCCTTTCGAAACCACCACTGGCACATGGAGCTTGGTTTACGTAGTCTTCCTCATGTTTATAAACGGTGTTGCATTTTTCATACTCATGGGATGCTACTTGAAAATGTATTGCGCCATCAGAGGCTCTCAGGCCTGGAATTCTAACGACTCGCGAATCGCCAAACGCATGGCACTTCTCGTGTTCACCGATCTGCTGTGCTGGGCCCCCATAGCATTCGTCTCTTTGACGGCCATCTGTGGGTTTCACCTTGTCTCGCTAGAACAAGCCAAAGTGTTCACGGTGTTCGTGTTGCCGTTGAACTCATGTTGCAATCCGTTTCTCTATGCCATACTGACAAAACAGTTCAAGAAAGACTGCGTGATGATATGCAAAGCCATCGAAGAGTCCAGAGTGACCAGAGGCATCGGTAGGTGTAGACACAGCTCCAACTTCAGCAACAGGCAGACGCCGGCTAACACCAACAGTCTGGTGGACAGGTCATCGCGAGACAACTATCCACATCCTCCGTGCAGCTGCAATGTAAAACTGTTGGACGACAAGTCCGTGAAAACAGAGGAGACATTCTACGATTGGCTGAACATTAAATTTAGAAGAATAATGTCGTGTTTACAGCGAGAGTCTGATTCGGGCCGACAGTATATGAGGAGCGACCGGTACGCTTACCAAATCGCCGAAATACAGCAAAAACAGCATAAGCGCGCGTCGTCGATGTCTTCTAGTGAAAATTACAGTTCATCAAGATCAGATTCGTGGAGACAGCATCATCACCACCATCATCACCACCATTGTGGCGTACCCTTGAGACTTCTGGACCCAAAACAGAGGCGTGCCAGTTCATGGATTGTGACTAGGAAGACTTCGCAAGACTCAAATCTGTCGAGCTCGAGAAACGACAGTTCGGGTTCCGCCAACACAGCCAGCACTAGTGTAAGCACGAGGGCTTCCAGGTCCAGTGTAGGTTGCAGCGACCATAAACCAAAGCCTCGGCTGACGCGTCAACCGGCCGTTTTAGACGATCCCGAGCTGGTAGTGGGTGGTTCTCCTAACAGATTAAGTGTTCGATTTTTGGCCACTATTCCTTCAGCAGCCGAGACCAGTGTTTACAGAGCAGATACCGAGGACGAAGATGACGAAAACAGAATGGATGATTCGTTGAGGCCAGAAAATTCGCCAACGACTACTGCTAGCGAAAGGACTACGCCACCGGATTCTAAACCAACGTCCCCACATAGTTAAAATGTCACTATATTTTTTACGTTTAGTAGACTTTAGATAATTTCGTACATAAGTTTTATAGTCATACCAAGTAAGATTCTGAGACATAGCCCATCTCGAACAAAATATAATATAGTAACCAATGATAACGTGACACGTGATAATATCCTGTAAGATGTAACTCTTAACGATGTAACATATATTATTGTTATGATTACTAATGAATAATAGTTGTTCCCAACCACACATGCGTGAATAATTAAAACATTATGTATAATATATTATATTATATTATCCTATTATGACGCATTTTTATGAAAATTCATTACCTACATCATTTTAATCTTTTAAATATCGATGAACAAAAACGCCGAGTCTTAACTTATGTTTTTATAATATTAAATTAATAATAATATATTATAAGAATATTATTGTCTTTTAAATTACATTTTTTTTTTACTTTATTTTCCCATTAAATAGCGTGGGGAAGTATTCTATATAGCCTAAACATTTGTAAGTAAGTAGATCATATTTATAACATATTGGTGTTTTAAGCCAACATAATATTCGGTTTGACGAGCTTTAGTCGATCGGTTTAAAGACAAGTTATATAATACAAATGAATACAAAAATAACAGCTCGAGCCAAGACAATACTCTATAGCAAATTAACTAAAAAGGCTGTGTTTTAGTACAAGGAATGACGATATAAATTACTTAGGTTATTATATTTTAATAATAATAATGTTCTTTTTTTTTTTTACTCTAAGTTTGTGTAATATGTATGTTATAAATAAATATGGTTTTGCGTTAAAAGTATATTTCAAAGCAATTGCACGTGTGCGTCAAACACAGATACTTTTTGTACAGTAAAAAAAAAAAACTTTTTTTGCTGTTTATAATCTCCATGATTGTACAATAGCGAACAAAATGTAAATGTGAGACGATGAAAAAATAATTCGGTTGCTACGCTCATAATAGTTATAAATTATAATAGGGATAGTATAATATAATAGGTATACTTTTCCAGTGTACCCACTGACAATTGCTTTGTGAGATACTTTTCTGACAAAACCGTATGTTCGCCTGTTCCTGATTCGTGTCATTTTTGCCGGTTTTTTTGTACATTTTACTATAATATGTAATAAATTATTATTCATAATTTTGTCATTCTATTTTTAATGGGTGCTCAAAATCAACGTACTCTGTGTACAATGTATTCCTTGTTTATAATTTGTAGATAAATTGATATTTGAGTCTTAAAATATAATAATATAATATTGCGTCCCACCTGTTATATTGGAATAAAACTAAAACACTTACACATTTTTCAAAAACACTCGATTGTATATAGAACATTAATGTATAACACATTAATAACAAAACAAAATATGTATTAATTTTGTTTAGTGTATGTTATAGATAATTTAATTTTCAATTTGAAGGTTAAAATAAGAGCAGCGATCTCCATTTGAGTTAGATTATATTGCAATTGAGACACTTATAAGAACAAGGGCCCAATTCGAACTTTCAATTTTTTTCAGGAGACAAAAAAAACTTATTCAGTTAAAAATTATTAGTATGATCACAAATTTTGAATTGTCTTCATATTTAATACCTTCAAGTCTATAATTTTTTTCAGTTAGAAGTTATTTTGAATATTTCAGTAAGTCAAAGTATTTGTTTGAAAATTGTAAATTTGGGCCTTTGTTGAAAAATGACTAATTGGGCCCTTGTTCTTACAAGTGTCTCAATTGTATTATTATTGTGTGTTTTCAATAGACAATATTGTGCTGGTTTTAGCTGACTTGAGTAGTTACAATTTTAACTACCAGGGTGTACTTATCGTATCGTTTCAACATTTTAAACTCTAAACGAAGCGATGAATGTATTTCTTTTACAATTGTGTATTTTTGTTTAATAATATTGTTTTATTTATAATAATAATAATAATAATAATAATAATTTTATTAACGGAATAAAATTCCAATTTACAATAATAAAAATAATGACAGTTTCATAGGTGTGTGTTATACTAAAAAAATAAACAAATGATATGAGAATGAGAGAAAAAAAGTGAGAAAAAAAAAAGAATATAATAATATGTATATTGTATATATATAGAGAAATTAAAAGTTATGTGTGTCTGTTATCACTTTTTTAGTGCAGTAAACATTTTTTAACTTTCAATTTTTAGGGTAGCTATTCTTACAGATAATTTAATTTAGTTATTACTTATGGAGGTTCAAAATAATCAGAAAATGTACGCAATACCGGGTTCGAAAAGATCTTAGTTCGTAATAGTATTGAAATACAAAAAAAAAAAAAAGAACCGTATTAGATTTTTTAAATGTTCACAAAATATTTTTATGAGCATTTTTTAAACATGATATTATAAATAGGCATGAAAACATATTTAGATTTTTTGAACTGTAGGTATTTATGGTAGTGACTGTTTCGTGACGACATTATACGTACTGTGTAGATCCATATAATACGATAAATTGTATTATTGTGTCCTATTACAAAACCTTGATTAATAATTTATTATTACAAATATGGTATTATTATTTAAAGATTTTATATTTTTATAGTACTGAGGCGTTGAAGACCTAAACATTATACCTTAAACATTATTAGTTAATTAGTACCCTATAACGTTCATTAAATCATTGAAATATGATAATATTTTATCGACTTTAGTCACTTGATTGCTAACAATAAATGGAATACCTATAAATAGGTTAAGCTATTTTTTCAATATTAATGCAATATTCGGTTGGTACCTCCACATTTTAAAAAGAGTAATTAATATAAAATATATTATTGTATAAATACAAAACATAGTATAGCTACATAATTTATACACGTATTTACATTTTCTGTTTTCATATTATGTAAAATGAGAAAAAGATTTTCAACAGAGTGTCTGAGTGGGTGGGACAAACAAATTGTGTAAGTTGTCCTACCTCTGTAGGGCGGGAACCTCTAAATAGCGGACATTATCAATTGAATTTTGAATTGATTTATCTTACGTTTAAATATTACCAATGACTTATAATAGCTTGCCAATAATAAATTGGTGATCGATTTTCTTTATAACGCGAGTTGTACAAATAATAATTTTAAACTCCCAAGACCACTGCTGGTTACAATAAGACGCAAATCAAAAGCTTATATTCTGTGGCTCGACAATATTTACAAGTGACGTGTCTCACACATCGGACGTGTTCCGATTATAAATTCACTTACTTTACATAAATTATTATACTAAGACGGCTGTTGTACACTACACCTTATGTACCTAATATTGAAATATTTAATAAATAAATTCATTAGATATTACATAATACATACTTAGCGCATGCACATTATTACTTGTAACACACGTGTGAATACATATTTATTTTAAAAGGCGGTGTTTGTTTTGTATAAAATTGAAACAACCACTACAAAAGTACAAAATAGAACAATTACTGTTGATTTTAAAATCAAATTAATGTTTATAAACTCATCGCATACTCCACCATATAGTATGGATTTGAAAACTATTAGGTTTCGCCGTTTCGGTACGTCAACCGATCAAACATCTGCAGTAGCTGACAGTGAGTGAAAATGACGTCTGTTGTATCATAGTTTCTTATACAATATAGACATAAACATGCTGCATTAACTTGTAAATAAATTATACCTAATATGAATATTAGGTAGTAAAAACAAGTTATAATAAACAAACAATATAAAATCTGATTGAAAAATATGAAACATGAACTTGATAGGTACCATCATTCGATTGACTTTCCAATTGAATATAATATTATTCAAATCCGTCTAGGACGCGTCATATTCGTCAATATCATTTTCCAGTAAAATATGTTATAGTGTTAATTTAAATCAAAATAATTGTTCTTAAATAGGAAATTTGATGATGTGAAGAACTACTGACACCTTATTAAGTATTCTTGCTGATAATATTATATGCTCCAATGCAGTAAAATATGATTTTTAATATTGATAATTATGATCCTATAATACTGTTTAGGTACTCGTAACTCACTTTAAGTCTGCTGTCGTATATTGTAGACAGTCGTCAAAATATTATTATTTTATATATTATGTGTAATATAGGTGGAAATATTTTAAGTTTTAAATTATTGACATAGGTCAGGCCAGTGAAGCAATATGTCTGAGGCAGCAATAATGTTTTACTATATAACACCGGGAGTCCCGTTGTCGCTGAGTGATTCGGTGAGAACGTAGGTACGACAGTAAGCGGCAGTAATAGTACGGACCGAGTATACTTAAAATAAGTGAATTATTTATGTTTGTTTCAAATTAATAAAAGTGTTTCCGACTTCAGAACCCAAGCTTATAATAATTTCAGTCATTCTTAAGTTCTTACCTTTTGTAGGAGCAGCGCCGGGATATACGTACTATGTGTCAATGAAGTATTATTAAACTGAATAGTGCCAAGGTTAGGTTATATTTCCTTTCAAGATAGGAACGAACTAAGAATTGACATATCATCGTACATCAAAGTTAACAGTGCCATTCTATTAATTTTAGAGAGCGTCATTAACTATAGAGAATACGAGGGTAAGGCGTATATAGTTGGTTTACCGCGTATTGTCCAATACGGGTGATACCACACTGCATAATGAAGGTAAGTATAATTTATAATATTTAGTATCGCTTTAAGTCGACACCACGTGACCACGCGACCTTTGACAATCTTTAACAAAATATATACCAAGTATAATAATATTATATTATGTACCCAAGCTCTTTGAAGATAACCCTCTTCTCCTTGTGTATTAAAATAAATCATTAATTACCTAACGTTTGTTAGTGAGAATCTATTAAACCGTTTACAGTCTGGATATATAATCTAGCTGAATACACGAGAACATAAACCGATGGACAATTAAATAAATACATGGTCCGGTAGGTTTCACAAAATATGACAAATTTTAAGTGATTTTAAATTAAGTATTGATGTTTTGTTTCGAAATAATAAAAGTT